ACAAAGTCGGTGAGGGTGAGAGCAGCGGGGTGGATGCTAAGGAACTGGTCGCGGGCGGCGGCAAGGCGGTCAGGGAGGCGGGTGGCAAGGAGGTAGAGGGTAGAGGTCATGGGAGGCTGGTGGACTCTAAGCTGTGCATCAGTGCAGGCAGCGCGCCAGGTCTCATCTATCGAGCGCAGGTGGGCAGCGAGGTCAGAGACAGTGGGGAAAGACGCAAGGTCAGGAAAGAGCAGGGGGAGGATCAGGCGTCCCACTGAGGCAGCAGGAGGGGTAGAATAGCGCTTGATGACAGCATCGAGGTAGGCCTGGGCGGTAGTAATGGTTCTAAAGCGAGGGCGCTCAGGGGGGGGGAGGGCATTGCTAATGGCGAGCTGAGCAAGGGCATCGCGGGAAAGCCAGACAGAGCGGGCAAGGGCAGCGGCGGCAGTGGACTCGCGCTCAGCGGGCGTGGGATCAGCGGGCAGCACAGCAGGGGGGTCAGGGCAGGGGAGCATACCGTCTAGGTGGTCAGAAAGCGGGTGGCCGTCCTGCCGCTGACCACTGAGGTGGCGGCGGAGGTCAGCCAACCACGCCTCGAACTCCAGATGCTGACCCTCAGCATCAAAACGAAGCTCAGCAGCCATCAGGGGCAGTGTAGGATAGTAGAGTGCGGTGTAGTGCTGTGTAGTGCGGTGCAGTACGGTGCAGGGCGGTGCAGTGCAGTGCAGTGCGGTGCAGTGCGATGCAGTGCGGTGCAGTGCGGTGCAGTGCGGTGCAAGGCGGGGCAGGGATGTGCAGGAGAGTGCAAAGCGGTGCGAGGAAAGGGGGACAGTACCAGGAAGTATGTAGGGCCGGGGCAGGCTCGACGGGACGGGGCAGGCGCGACGGGGCCGGGCAGGCGCGACGGGGCCGGGCAGGCACGACGGGGCCGGGCAGGCGCGGCGGGGCCGGGCAGGCGCGACGCGGGGCCGGGCGGCAGCGACGAGGCCGGGCGGCAGCGACGGGGCCGGGCGGCTGCGACGGGGCCGGGCGGCAGCGACGAGGCCGGGCGGCTGCGACGGGGCCGGGCGGCAGCGACGAGGCCGGGCGGCTGCGACGGGGCCGGGCGGCTGCGACGGGGCCGGGCGGCTGCGACGGGGCCGGGCGGCAGCGACGAGGCCGGGCGGCTGCGACGGGGCCGGGCGGCAGCGACGAGGCCGGGCGGCTGCGACGGGGCCGGGCGGCTGCGACGGGGCCGGGCGGCTGCGACGGGGCCGGGCGGCAGCGACGAGGCCGGGCGGCTGCGACGAGGCCGGGCAGGACACAGCAGGGCCGGGCGAGGGCGACGGGGCCGGGCGGGCGGGACGGGGCCGGGCGGGTGCGACAGTGGCCGGGCGGCTGCGACAGGGGCCGGGGGGGCGCCACGGGGCCGAGCGGCTGCGACGGGGCCGAGCTGGGGCGACCGGGCCGAGCAGGTGTGACGGGGCCCAGGAGGGGCACTACAGGGCCCTGGAGGGGCGCGACGGGGGGGGGGGCCCAGGAGGGGCGCGACGGGGCCCAGGGGCGCTACGGGGCCCAGGGAGGAGCGCGGCAGGGCCCAGGAGGGGCGCTAAGGGGCCCAGGGAGGAGCGCGGCAGGGCCCAGGAGGGGCGCTAAGGGGCCCAGGAGGGGCGCGACGGGGGCCTGGGAGGGGCGCTACCAAGCCCAGGAGGGGCGCGACAAAGCCCAGAAGGGGCGCTACGAAGCCCTGGAAGGGGCGCGACGGGGCCTGGAGGGGCGCTACGAGGCCCTGGAAGGGGCGCGACGGGGCCTGGGAGGAGCGCGACGGGGCCTGGGAGGAGCGCGACGGGGCCTGAGAGGAGCGCGACAGGGCCCAGGAGGGGCGCTAAGGGGCGCGACGGGGCCCTGGAGAGGCGCTAGGGGGCGCGACGGGGCCCTGGAGGGGCGCTACGGGGCCCAGGAGGGGCGCTACGGGGCCCAGGAGGGGCGCGACGGGGCCCTGGAGGGGCGCTACAGAGCCCAGGAGGGGCGCGACGGGGGCCTGGAGGGGCGTTACGAAGCCCTGGAAGGGGGGCGCGACGGGGCCTGGAGGGGCGCTACGCTACGAGGCCCTGGAAGGGGCGCGACGGGGCTAGGGGGGGGGGGGGGGGGGTCGCGACTGGGCTCAGGAGGGGCGAGGCTAGGCTAGGAGACGCGACGGGAGGAGCGGAAGCGGTAGGTGAGGGGGGGGGGGGGGGGTCGAAACCTACGCGTGATACCATCTCAAACCTAGAAATTTAATAATGATAGAGTTAGAGAGTACATGCACATATACCTAAACGTTGTACCCTCTAGGAGGTTACCCTATACAGTCTATACAAACATGATCAATAAACATGTTTGACAGACGTATCCGTATAGTTGTATGGACGATGTTGTTGCTTTACTGTAGGTAAGCCCGATCGTCGGCGTGGAGACGAAGTAGTGTAGTGCCCGATTAAGTTCCTCGAGATCTTCTTGTTCCGGCTGCTTCAGATGCGTCGCCAGTTGGCTCGCGCTGTAAGAGAGATCGGGTCGGCAGGTTACTGCTGCGAATAGTAGGCAGCCGAGCTTCTGCTGATACTCCTGGATTTGCCTCGCGGGGAGTTTTGCGGAGGTGTTGTTGTTGTTCCCGTAGCGGTAGGGAGTCGGGACGGTAGTCGGCGTTAGACCGAATTTCTTCGCGACAGTGCCTGTGTACTTTCCAGCGTGTAGGTAGAGCGCCGAGTTGTCTTCGACGACATTCAGTCCCAGGTACTGGGTCACTGCGTCGGACACCGTGAGTGTCAGGTCCTCTTTCAGCTCCCCTTGGAACGAGGTGGCGATGTTGCTAGTGGAACTGATGTAGAGCAGGTCGTCGACGTAAACGATGAGTAGGATATATTCTCTTCCTTGTTGCAGTCGGTACATGCCTTGGTCATGCGGCAGCTGTAGGAATCCGATTTTTACGAGGCGACCGTGCAGATGCTGCTGCCAGAGCCGCGGGGCTTGCTTAATCCCGTATAGGGATTTTATCAGTTGGCATACTTTCGTGGGGTCGTCGATGAATCCGTGGGGTTGCTCGACGAAGATCTCAGCGTCCACAGGTGCGTACAGGAAGGCATTTGCGACGTCGATTTGGCGCAGTGGTAGTTTCTTCGTGGCCGCGACGGCGAGTAGGATGCGCAATGAGGTGTGACGGGAGACTGGGGCGAATGTTTCTATGTAGTCGGTTCCGTATCGTTGATCGAACCCTCGTACGACCCATCGAGCTTTGAATCGTTCGGTGGAACCGTCCGCATTGGTCTTGATGCGGTACACCCATTTTCCCGAGAGGACGTTCATCCCGTTGATGCTTGTTGCAGGTACCAGCTTCCATGTATTTCGGTCTTGCAGAGCCTTTAACTCCTTTTCCATCGCCTCCTTCCATTTCGCCTTATGTTCCCCCCCCCCAGAGCCTGCGACAGAGTCAAGGGCTCGCGCGGAGATGGCGGTGGCGGGTGCTGGACAGAGACCCATAATCCAAGTATCTGCAAGCCCGTGGGTGTGTGTCGAGGGGAATTTTCATTCCCGGAATAGGCTGCTTCGTCACCGTCTTCTGGATCAGGTAAGAAGTTTGGGCCGATGCGTTCTGAGACATTCGTGTCGACGGGGTGGGGTGTAACGTAACCTAGGTCGGCGAAGTGGTAAAAGGTGTCGAGGTTGTTGCTATCGAGGGGATTGTCTTCATCGAGTGGAACAGGTACGGAGCAGAAAGGGAGTGGTCCGGCAGCGTCCGAGGCTCCAGGTACGTTTTCTTCTGCTGCGTCAGCCTCGGCAGCACGGTCGGCGAAGGAACGAAGGCCCGCGAAGCCGTCGGTGGGGTCATGTGTGTTGGCAATGTTGTCCAGGTAATGCTGCAGCGTCAGTCGCTCGTAGAAGATAACATCACGTGATGCCACGGTAGTTTTGTCTTGTATGTCGAGGATTTTCCATGCGTGAAAATGTTGTGCGATGCCGAGGTGTAGCCCCCATCGTGCTCGTCGGGTGAAACGTCCTGCTCTGGCTGTGTGGGGTCTGTACTGTAACATGCAGCCGAAAACTCGAAGTAATTTTGTGCTGCCCCTTTTTCGTGTCCACAGCAGGTGCGGTGATGCGTTGTTGGGGAGCGATGACGAGGATAGCAAATTGTGCAGGTGGACTGCATGGGTCATCGCGTCTGGCCACAGTGCGTTGGGCAGTCTCATCCCCAAGAGTAGCTTCCGCATCGTCGTCTGCAAGGTCCGGTTCATTCTTTCTGCGACCCCCTGTTGCTGGTGAGCTTAGGGTAGAGACACCAGGCGTCTGATTCCTCTTTCCGCCAGATAGGTCCTGAAGCATTGTGACTGGTATTCCAGTGCACCGTCTGACTGGAAGCTCTTGAGTTTGGTTCCTGATTCTCGTTCGGCGATGGGGAGCCATGTCGTGAAGGCGTCGAAGGCTTGATCACACGTCTTGAGGTTGTAGTGCCAAACATATCTTGTTGCTGCATCGATAAAAGTGATGACGTAGTTGAAGTCGGCCTCCGTGTCGTCTCGAGGCATGTTTAAGATGTCGCTGTAAACCTTTTCCATCGGTGCATATGCAGGCGCACTTGGGTTGTGATGTGATTGGAAGGATTGATGGGGAAGATCTGCTTCGGGGCACGTGAAGCACCGTGCGCGAGGTCTTCGAAGTTCTTGGCCGCTTGGTGTAAGAAGAGCGTTGCGTTCTAATACTTCGGCTTGGATTGTTTGTAGTACGGTGCTGTTTGCAGGATGCCCAAGGCGTTGGTGCCAGATGGCCGGGCGAGCGTTGGTACATGTCGGTGTTGGAGAAGAACGCGACGACTGTGGCGGGACTTCGACAAACTTCTCGTGTGATGGGCATAAGTTGATCTGCTTCGGTTGGCGGTCCTCGAATTGCTGGTGGTGGTACTCGGCTGGGTCCTGCTGCTCCTACTGCAGGTGATGGTTGGGAAGGGACACTTGCTGGTACTTGTCTTTCTTGTCTGATGACTGCTAATGCTCGTGTTCTTTCTGCTGCAGGTATGGTGTTGGAGTGCCAGAACCCATCAGGGTCGAAGTCGGGGTCAAGATCCGGCGGGTGTGTCCAGGCGGCGAACGACACGATTCCGTCGCTGTCGCCAGTACCGCGGTCGGGGACGAAGTCCAACACGAAGACGCCGGACTTCAGGAGAGCACGACCGATGAAGAGGCCGCCCTTCCCGTGGTAAAGACGAAACTCGTTGGAGTAGGAGTCGCACTCCAGGTGAATCCCCTTTGCCATTAGTTGGCTGACGCTTAGTAAGTTGTACCCCAAGTTGTCGACGATGAGGACATTGTTGATTTGAAGTATAACGTTTGTCTCCATGGATTGTAACTGAACCACTCCTTGTCTGTTTGTTTTCAGGTTTTCGTTATTGGCGACGGTGATGATGACGTCGCGGGTGAGGCGTCGCTCTCGTTGCACGAAGCGTCCGGAAGAACACATGTGTTGACCACAGCAGCTGTCCAAGAACCAGGTGTTTCGCCCGGTGGGTTCGGCGTTGGCGACCGCAGCATATGTCGGGTTGACCTCAAGTCCTTGCGAGCGCGGCGGCGGAAGTTCTTCTTCGTCTGGTGCGTAAGTGGGTGGTGATCCGGGTGCGCAGTTGTCGATGTGTATCATGCAGTTAATGATGTTTGGTGTCCCTTGTGCAGATGTGGAAGAGCGCCTTGGAGGGCTTTCTTGAGTGGAGGCGACGTGTGGGTCTACTGGACGATAAACACGAGGACGTGTGCAGTTGACTTTGGAATGTCCGGAAGTCTGACACTTGTGGCAGAACGGTGGCACGAAGGTGAGTCCTCTATTATCGCGTTGATCTTGTTTGCCGCGTTGATTGTAGTTGTTGTCGTTCCTTCGTTGAGTGTAGAAAACTAACTGCTGCTGCTTCCTTGGTTGTCTTTCTTCGAACAGGTCCATCTCCTGTTGTTCAGCGTGAAGCTCGGCGCAGAGGTGCATCTCCGATATCCTTCCGTGGGCACGAAGAAGCGAGCGTGTGGTTCTCCATTCTGGCCCGAGCCCAGCGAGGACAAGCGTCACGAAGCTTTCTTCAGTGATTGTTCCTCCGCACCGAAGCAGACGGTCGCGGAGGGTCTGGCAGCGACTCATATACTGCATCGCCTTTTCCCCGGTCTTCATCTGTATTGTTGTCAGTTGTTGCATGAGTCTGCTTTGTGTCACGCTGTCGTTTGCTTGATAGAGACACTTGAGGTGATGCCATGCGAGTTCCGCGGAGTTTGCGTAGCTCCGATACGTTCTGATGCTCTGCTGTTCTTGTGGTGACAGGTTCCGCAGGAGAACTGTATACGCCAGCAGCGACTGATACGTAAAAATTTCTTGCTCCTTTCCAGTGCCGTTGCTTGGGAATGGCAGGGACCCGTTGAAGTATCCCAAGAGATGCGCAGCCTCCATCAGCAGCTCGAACTCAAAACTCCAGGTAAAGAAATCGTGTCCGTTGAATGGTGAGGATGTCTGCAGTTTAATCACGTGTGAAAACTGCGCCTGGAGACTTAAAATCTCGTTTGGTGTCTGTTGTGATGCAGCTGCTGTTGGTTGGGCACGGGGCGGCATGAACTCGAACGTCCCTGGTGAAGAGTGATAAGGCGCAAAGGTAGGCGCTTGATTGTGTTGCCCGAATGATGAGTTGTCGAGGCTCATTGGCGCTAATCCCATGTTCCCTCCGTTGCTTTGTATTGAATGCGCAGGTGTCCTTGTCTGCTGCTGCTCGAAGTGTGACATGAAGCTGAAGAACCTTTCCATAAGGTTCGGATCCACGCTTGAAGAGGGTGATGGGGTCACCATTTCCGGTGTTCTTCCTGTTGATTCTTGAGCAGCGCCGGTCTCGGTTTGCAGTCCTGAAGTATGCAATCCAGAGTTGCCGGGTTGGATGTCTTGGGCGCTGGGAGAGCCCGTAGAGATTTTCTTGCCCTTGCTGCCCATGACTTGTAATCAATGAAGTCGTTGAATTGCAGATTGTAGATAGAGCGTAGTTGCTCGGAGTTTGGTCTCTGACCAGCTCTCATACCATGTTGGGCTGAGAAAACGCCCTTGGGATCTTTCCAGAGACTAAGTCCCAGTTGTAAAAGACTTGAGTAGTGCAGCGGAAGTTGAGTAGTTGAACCCTTGTACTAGTATATGAGAACAAGTGATTGATTAAAGAAACAAGCATACAACAATATATAGAAAATAAGAAAGCAGTTGTAGAATACAGTTGCAGGAGCGGTTATCGAGTCGCACAGCGACTCGATTGTCGATTCGGTTACCATCCGCGATGTTGTAACGGTCAGTCGCAACCTCCAGTTGCGACCTTTCGAGTCCCTTCGCGTTCTTTGTCCGCCCCCTCGTGTAACCTCCATTGACTCGCGTACCCGTTGCGATCTTCCTCGAGTGTAGTGTTACACTTCAGAAACGCTTAAGTCATTTGAGATATTTCCAACAAAAGTCAGCGGAAGACTTTACACCTTGTATTGGAAATGTCAGAAATGACAAGGATTAATAATAATGGATAATACAGACACATTTATAGGCTACAAAGTACCTATTTGGAATGTACCTGTTAGTAGTGTATCGCGTGACATGACTAGTGACTGTTCGTGTGACTGAAAGTGGCTTGACCATTCGGGTGACTATACGCGCGAAACTACTGTTCACGCGTTGACTCGTTACTACTGACGTCATCACGCGCGTCCTTCCATATGAGGTATCACGCTACTAGTACAATCTAACTGTAATTTCAGGAATGCACAAGTAAACTCTGTCGAGTATACTTTCTACAAGAAACACGTTGACGACGCGTTGATCCACTTGGGAGGACGAGAAGAGCGATATCTTTTCTCAAGGGTGTTCGGCCGACAACAAGCATTGGAGACGATTAGCATACCATTGGAAAGAGCGCAACACGAGCTACAACATTTGCGTTTAGTTCATCGCCATCTGATAAGCGGATTGGGCGAAAATCAAGAAATTCGATCGGTGACAGGAAATTGGAAGAATATGGGAGAATGCGAATATTCGCTGATGTTGAAGTGCTTGGCGGCAGGGGGAAGGAAGAGGTGGAGGAATGGATGATGAGGATACTGAAGGGGCTGCCACCTCGATTTGCGATGCTCAAAGTGATCCTCAGCAACCAGTCATCCTCACTCTTTAAGGATCAGGAGTTGACCTCCCTGAGAAGTGAGGAGATGCGCATTGGTGCGGCGCCGATGAGTGATAGTGCAGCCACATTTGGAGCAGCCACTTGGGGAAGGGGAGATGGCAGCAGTAACCAGAATAGGGGAGGGGGACAAGGAAACAGTGGCAGCAATAATAGCACAGGTCAAGGGGGTCTGCCGACGAGCAAGTCGGCAGCACCCATATTTCCTTGGGGTCGAATGATATGGCGCCACGGGGATTGTGTCATGGGTGTTGGAATGAGGGACATGCATGGCAACGTTGCCCTCATAGGCCCAAGAATGCGATACCAACCTTCCTAAAACGACCGGGTGGGTTCAAAGGCAAGGCACAAGTAGCGGATGAAGACGAGAAGGAGGACCAGGCAGAGGTAGCTGTTGGTGAAGCAGTGGCAGTGGCTGGGCAGCAGGCAGCAGCAGAAAGGCAGCTGCGAGATGGGTGGTGGATTGACAGTGGAGCCAGCCACAACTTCACCCCCTATGTGACCGACTTCCAGAGTAAGCTCGGCCCACCTGAAATTAGGGGAGTGCGATTGGGGGATGGACAGGTGGTCAGTGCTAAGGGTATGGGTGAGGTACTAGTGCTTGGTGAAGGGGGTCAATTATTAAGGCTGCAAAAGGTGCACAATGTGCCTGAGATGCACACTCGCCTCCTGTCTGTCCCACACCTCACCTCTAGGGGAGTTACAGTAATGTTTGAGGGCACACAGTGTGTGCTCAAGAGGGAGGAGCGGGTGTTGGAGACTGAAGAGAAGAGGGTGGCAGGGATCATGGGTTGGTGAGGATGCAGCTTCCACTGAATCGGGAAAACCAAGGAAATGCTCTTGCTGCTCGCCCACTCACATCTCTCTCTCCTCTCACTCTCACCCACCGCCGATGTGGTCACACTGTGCCGACAACACTTCAGCAGATGGCCAGGGCCAACACTGTCATTGGATTGGATATTGGGGGTGTCGGTGGGGATTGCCCCCCTTGTGAGTCATGCTTACTAGGGATCATGAGGCATCACTGGCCCTTGGACCCTTGGATGAACTTGTGGGGCCTTGTGCGTACGCCGTCCTCGGGAGGGCGGTGTACGTATTCAGCCTCATTGACGACTTCACCAGGCAGGTTTGGGCATTCCCCCTTGCTCTTCGCAAGTGGCACAAGTATGTGGAGTGGGAGTCTGGCCATCAGTTGAAGGTGCTTCGCTCCGACAGGGGTGGCGATTTCCTAGGGGAAGCAGTGAAGGAATGGAAGAGCGAGTTTGGCATTCAAAGTCACTGCAGCAGAATGGGTGGTAGAGAGGTGGCACTGGACAATGGCGGAGGGGATTCGCACCTTGCTGGTCGGCAGTGGTCTCCCCGCAAGATTGTGGGATGAGGCCATGATGTGGGTCATATGGGTCAAGAATCGGGTACCCCATAGTGCATTGCCTGCCCTCATCACTCCGCTTGAGGCTTGGTCAGGACGCAAGCCGCATGTCGGCATGGCTCGGGTTTGGGGTTGCATGGGGAGTGTGATGCTACATGGACCGGATCGGGGTGGGAAGCTAGATGAACGGGCTGTTATGTGCGTCTGTGTTGGGGTGGACATGGAGAGCAAGGGCTGGAGGATGTTGGACCTTCTCTCATGCGCATTCATATTGCTTGGAATGTTGCCTTTCTCAAAAATGTGATGTGGAAGGATTGGGAGCGGGCAAAGGCCTTTGGAGACCTCACACAGGATGCCAATGCCATCTCTCAGCTCCTTCCCTACGCCCTTGCACCATCTGCAGTGGGGGAAGACACTGCCAACATGCCTCTGCCGCTGCCCCCGGCGAGTATGTCAGCAGAGCCAGGTATGTCGGCACAGCCGGGTATGTCGACAGCGTAGTCTGCCAACGTGCAGCGGCCTCTCCTCTCTGTTCCTCAGCCGAGTG